GAGAAATACTGAGTACTACTCCGAGAAATACTGAGTAATACTCTGACAAATACTGAGTACTACTCTGACAAATACTGAGTACTACTCTGAGGAAAACAGAGTAGTACTCTGAGGAAAACTGGGTAGTACTCTGAGAAAAACAGGGTAGTATTTTGAGAAAAACAGGGTAGTATTTTGAGAAAAACTGGGTAGTACTCTGAGAAAAACAGAGTAGTACTCTGAGAAAAACTGGGTAGTAGTCAGACATAAACTGTGTAGTACCCTGAGGAAAACAGAGTAGTACTCTGAGAAAAACAGAGTAGTACCCGAAGAAAAACAGAGTGGTACCCTGAGAAAAACTAAGTAGTACCCTGAGAAAAACTAATACCCTGAGAAAAACATAGTAGTACCATGAAAAAAACAGCAGTACCCTGAGCAAAACAAAGTAGCACCATGAAAAAAACAGTGTAGTACCCTGAGAAAAACAGTGTAGTACCATGAAAAAAACAGAGTAGTACCCTGAGAAAAGCAGTGTAGTACCATGAAAAAAACAGAGTAGTACCCTGAGAAAAACAGTGTAGTACCATGAAAAAAACAGAGTAGTACCCTGAGAAAAACAGTGTAGTACCCTGGAAAAACAGATTAGTACCCTGAGCAAAACAAAGTAGTACCATGAAAAAAACAGTGTAGTACCCTGAGAAAAACAGTTTAGTACCCTCAGAAAATCAGTTTAGTACCCTGAGCAAAACAGATTAGTACCCTGAGCAAAACAGTGTAGTACCATGAAAAAAACAGAGTAGTACCCTGAGAAAAACAGATTAGTACTCTGAGAAAAACAGTTTAGTACCCTGAGAAAAACAGATTAGTACCCTGAAAAAAACAGAGTAGTACCCTGAGAAAAACTGAGTACCGTTCCAAAACAAGTGTCAGAAACCAGAAGGACCCAGGAAGAAGAACATGAGACACATGCAGACTCCATAGAGGACCCCAGTTCTATGCCAGGGTTTGAACCGTGGACCGTGTGGTTGTGAGGTTAACCACTAATCCATCATGCTGCCCCAATGACTTGTTCTGATGTTTACAAACTCCTGGATTTTAGTGAAAAAAATAAAATGTACATTTT